CCTATGACTGTGTGATATGGAAATAATACATTTACAAAATTTAATTTAAAGATCCACAACAAAATTCGGATTCAAAAAATCCATTTAGTAAATTAAAAACACTATTAAAAAAACACACCAATTCGTAAATTCAAAACACGATTCGAAAATAAACAAATGCAATTCTTAAATTCAAAACATGATTCATGAACACACAAATCCAGTTCTTAAATTCAAAACACAATTCGAAAATACACAAATGCAATTCGTAATTGCATTCGTAATTCGTAACAAATTGTCATCTTAGATAATTATAAGGTTCTATCTGACATTTTTATCAAAGTTGAGTTATTGACTTTCTTATTAAATGACAACTTATTTACATTATGGGATGTTTTTTACAAGTTACATTTTAGACTTTTTATTTAAAAATAAATGTTACACACATACTGAATCATATGGAATGCAAAAATTTTAAAGCGCTCAATATCTCAAAATCATGCAGAATGTAGATAGAAACTTTTAATTCTAAGGTGACGTAATCCAATTCGTAAATTCAAAACATGAATGATAAAGACAAATATAATTCGTAAATTCAAAACTCGATTGATAAACACTCAAACCCAATTTGCAAATTCAAAACACGATTAATAAACACACAAACCCAATTCGTAAATTTAAAACACAATTATTAATCACGCAAATCCAATTAGTAAATTCTAAACATGATTGATAAACAAACAAATACAATTTGTAAATTCAAAACACGATTGATAAACTCCAAAATCAAATTCGTAAATTCAAAGCACGATTGATAAACGCACATCAAATTCGTAAATTCAAAACACGATTGATAAGCACACATCAAATTCGTAAATTCAAAACACGATTGATAAACACACAAATCCAATTCGTAAATTCAAAACACGATTGATAAACACACAAATCCAATTCGTAAATTCAAAACACGATTTATAAACACACAAATCCAATTCGTAAATTCAAAACACAATTATTAATCTCACAAATCCAATTTTTTAATTCTAAACATGATTGATAAACGCACAAATACAATTTGTATATTCAAAACAAGATTGATAAACGCACAAATCCAATTCGTAAATTCTAAACACGATTGATAAACGCACAAATCCAATTCGTACATTCTAAACACGATTGATGAACGCACATCCAATTCGTTAATTCTAAACACGATTGATAAACGCACAAATCCTATTCGTAAATTCTAAACACGATTGATAAATACACAAATCCAATTTGGAAATTCAAAACGAGATTCATAAACACCCAAATACAATTTATAAATCCAAAACAAGATTTAAAAATACACAAATCCAGTTCGTAAATTTAAAACACGATTAATAAATGCACAAATCCAATTCTTAAATTCAAAACATGATTCATAAACACACAAATCCAATTCATAAATTAAAAACACAATTCAGAAATATACAAATCCAATTCGTAAATTCAAAACATGATTGATAAACTCACAAATCCAACTCTTAAATGATCAAACTTCTCTATGCTTGTAGATTGTTTATTATATTTTATGCGCTCGCATACATTTACATGTTCATATTTGTGTTATTTCTTTTTTCTTTTTAAAGATTACTATTATATGATGTATTGTCAAATGTGTTGTTGATCTTGTGTATACTACAACTTAAATATTTGAAGACAAAATGTCACATGAACATAATCATCACATTTATTACCAACATAAATGCTTTTGATATTTGTTTTTTGCTCCCTTGTCCTTCTTTGTGCATGTGAATTTATGTTTATGAGAATGGAGTGGCTAAATTAGGGCATAATCCTGACCTCAAGTCACAAAGACTATTTAAACCCCACTTCTCTCTCTCTCTCTCTCTTTCTCTCTGTCTCTCCCTCACTCACACACATACACACAGACTCACACACATTAATTGGTTTTATTCCAGAATAGGCCAGTGTGGTATGTGTGGGGGGAGGATTTGAGCATGGCATTATGGGGCTCAAAGCCCCTCCCCTTATGTCTTGTACAAACACTTGTAACTGCGCTAACAGAGCATGAGTGTATGTGTGTGTGTGTGTGTGTGTGTGTGTGTGTGTGTGTAGTTTTTAGTTGTCGCAATCCCTTCAAATGAGCTTCATTGCACTGGCCTCTCCACACCGGCTCACTGCTCCCAGATTAAGAACTCAATCACTTCAATCCCTGTTTTTTCTGCCAGGGCTGGGCAGCACAGATACACTTGCACATTTAATGCTACAAATTGGCAACCGCTTCCATTTCTATTTCAGGCCAATACTACCTGTAATCAGTCCATCCATTTACCATAGGCCACGTGTGTACCTGTATTTTTTTATAGTGTCATGCACTTGTGATCTGAACTAATACCAAGTCTGTGTCTAAATGGGTCAAAAAAGCTTTAATAACCTTCAGAGGTAGTCAAAAACAGGCGATCAGATCTTAAAGTGTAAATAGGAATGCATTTTGCCAGATCAGGGACCAGATGGGAACTATTCCAATGCGATATTGCTCGTGAACTATTCTTTGACATTGTTAAGCTCAACATAATCCATGAAGATGATATTAAGCACTATAAAGTTGCTCTCAAATGCCATTCTGTAGTTTAATGTGAAGTACAGATTAGTATTTCAGTGGTTAAATTAGTTCTTCACTCCGTTGAGCTTGTCAATAATTTGCTATTCAACCATTCAACCTGTGTGCCGCGTTCGGTCATGGTTAGATGGACTGATAATATTTGTCTTTTTTTTTTTTAAGATGTGTTCAAGGCGTGTCTTATTTTGACAGTGCAGCCTTTAGATCTTTTGTCAAACAAAACAAATCCCTGGTTTATTGTGCCAATATTTAATATTTATTTAAATTTTACTTTTTTGTTTTTTCCACAATGCTATCATTTGAATTAAAGGTAACTTTTAGTTCCCGTGGCGAAATTGATTTAGGGTATGGCCATCATCAGGTGTTCAACATAATCATAGAACATCGTAATACAACACAAAAATACTAATAATTTTAACATAATAATTAGTAATATCAATATAAAATTGATAATAATTTTCTTACTTGGCATCATTTGTATTAAAATGTTATCAATACTAGATTTTTTACATGGGGAAAAAAAACTAAAACAATTTCAGAACTAATAACTACATCTTACAAACCAAGAGGCCTTGCTTTTTTGTGAGAAATTAGCCGCATTCAGTTAGTCTTTTCTTTCTTAATGTCTTTTGTATTTGTTTCAACATTCAAGACCAACTTATGGTCATAAAAGCTTTTTTTTATTTATCTTGAGCAGGAACAAGGCATAGATTTGATACATCGCAGGAAAGGTGAAACTGAATTAACATTAATACACATGGATATTGAACAAAAACATACAACACATGCACAAATCGAATAGTTTTTATAAAAATTCTAAAAATGACTGTTAAATTGATATTTCTTTTTAAAATTAACATTTTTATTCCATAATATTTTGATTATTTGTGCAAAATGTTAATGATTTTATTATTTATATGTTTCTTATAAATTTTTGCATATTACTGATGGAGGAATCTTTCCCAGGGTGTCCGTGGGGACTTAAAGTCTTAAATCTCAAAGGCTAAATTTTAGGCCTTAAAGTCCTAAATTTACTGGAATAGTGTTGTAGGTCTTGAATCTTTTTTTAACAGGTCTTAATTTTCCTTTGTTCATGTATAGCTACTCAATCTGGCCAACACCCATTTAATCACCAACAATCCGTCTCAATAAAACTTCAAAACTTTTATTTAAAAATGTAATTTTTAACTTTATCGTAATGGTTTATTTATTATACAATAATTTTTCCGTGTATTTACTGCTTAGGAGACCGGCCTGGACAGATTGTTGTGCATACATTTAGTTTATTATAGTTCTTAAAACTTTTGTTAATTTTTTAAACTTTTTATTTTAAAGAAATTTTATGTTGGAAAAAAAGCTTGTATGGATACATGTAGAGCTTGCTTGTTTTTATTATTGTATTATTAATAATATTATAATAAAAATATTGGTCCCACTTTATATTAAGTGTCCTTAACTACTATGTACTTGCATCAAAAAATAAATACAATGTACTTACTGTGTTTATAATGTATTTGAGAACACTTGTGGTGCTTTTGAGTTGGGATAGAGGTTGGGTTATGGACAGATTTGGTGGCATAGGTAGGTTTAAGGGTGGGTTAAGGTGTAAGGGGTGGTCAACAGTGTATTTACAAATGTAATTACAAAAATTAATTACAGATGTAATTGTATACATTTATTTAATCAAGCATAAGTACACAGTAAATACATGTATAAGTACATTGTAACAAACTATTAAATCCTATGTAAGTACATAGTAGTTAAGGCCACTTAATATAAAGTAGGACCAAAATATTTTCCATCTGGGCCATTTGAAAAATTCCTTTGTGTTTAGTCCTTTAATGGGTCTAAAATTTGCATTCATTATGGTCTTAACTTTCTTAATAAATTTAACTTGGTGAAACCTGCAGAAGCCCTGTTCCATACCCTAGTTATCATTTAGAAAAATGTCTACACTTAAACAGTAAGCAGATTTAACAGTTATAAATTGCTTACAGGTTACTGCTTTTAATTATAGCCTTTCTTCATATAAAAGGGATTTTCAATCCTCTATTTAATTTTCTCTGGTGTCCGTTGACATCTCATTCAAGTTGCATTGAAATTTGCATTCTGATTCAGTGTGATGCTGATCATACATATAGGGGTTTGTTTCCCAATCGTAGTTTAGTACCAGGTGAAAACGGGCCCATAGCCACAGTCTTCATTGGCTAATATTGTATTCCCTTATCTCACCTGAACTAAACTTTCAGCCAGATCTGTTTAACCCTTTAGCGGTCCAATGTTCCACCTATGGTATGCAGACTTATTAGTTATAGCAACCATTCTTTATGACCGACTACATCAAACTAGCTAAGAAAACAAACACTCAGTTGTCTTTTAATTGTGTCCTCTCCAGGTACACCTGTAAATCGAATCCCCATCATGGCCAAGCAGGTGTTGGATCTGTACATGCTGTATAAACTGGTGACTGAGAAGGGAGGCCTGGTAGAGGTGATCAACAAGAAGATCTGGAGGGAGATCACCAAAGGCCTGAACCTGCCCACCTCCATCACCAGTGCCGCCTTCACCCTCCGCACACAGTAAGATCTTCTGAAATTTTCCATCTCTCTCTTTTTTACTTGAGATCATTGTGTATGGTATAAAGACATGCTCGTAATGTGGTTTTGACCATCCGAGAAAAATATAAATCTGGTGTATTTGATTACTGCTGGTCTGGCATGTTCGCTCACAGCCGAGTAATGGCTGTTGTGATCGAATTCTTCCTCTAATGAAATTTTGCAATGTCAGAAAATTTGAGACACTTCTCTTTTAGTGAGATCTCAACTGTGACAAACATTAAACCAAGAACCAATAGTAGAGCTGTATTTGATGACAGGTTTATCTAGGACTGCACAATCTATATTGTTTCAGTGTTAATATCACAATGTGTGCATTCACAATAGTCATATCACAGGATGTGCAGTGTTGAGTCAGGGTTATAGCCGACCAAGTTCAGAGTTGGCCACAGTTCAGAACACATGAGATTTGTGGGGTTATTGAGGATGTTTTCATGGACACCAATACTCCTATCTTAATATGAGTTAGACAAAATGCCACAGTGATGTTTGTGTACATTGACATCTACATAATTAAGATGTATATCTCAATATCAAACAAATGGCAATGTACACATTTGTCAACTGCAATGCTTTTTTGTCTCATAGCCAAATAAACCATTGGAAGACCATTTGAATGCAGCTACCATCGTAAACCGGATTAAGTCAAAACGGTGTTATTGGCCCCACATCTTTCCCAAGCCTGTTACCCAGCTGACCCGCACCAAACAAATATTATTTAACCTCTTAAACCAATATTAGTAGTTTACATGCCAGAAAGAAAGGGGGATGGAGGGGAAAACTATCAGGCACGAATATCAGATACAGTACTACAGCTCTTAAATGGGGATGGATTTTGAGATTTGTTTAAAATGATTCTTTTTTTGTTTGTTTTGTTGTTGTTTCTGCTAGTCATTAATTAATTGTCATAGTCTGACATTGACAACTAATATTTTACAGTGTAATATGGCAATTATTTTCATTATTTCATCATTTCAGTATTTTTATTGTGACAAACTACAATTGTAAAAGGACTATTAACCCTTTGACACAATCACAAAGGTGTGATCCGTCTTGGCTGGTCCCTGGAGTGTACAATCACACAGGTGTGATTTAAAGTGGTCATGGGACCAGCTGCTAAGTTGCCTGCGCCCATCAGTCATCATAGCTCGAATTAAATGACAATTAAGCAGTTTAAATTATGCTGTATATTTTCTTACACACTTGAGGATTGGAATATCAAATATTTCACAATATATTTCTGATCCATGTTTGTCAACATTTGCAGAAAATAGGGCTGCTCGATTATGGGAAAAATCTTAATCACAATTATTTTGGTCATAATTTTAATCACGATTATTCAAAACGATTATCAGTTGAAGTCAAAATTATTCGTCCTACTGTGAATTTATTTTTATATATAAATATTTCCCAAATTATGTTTAACAGAAGGTTTTTTTTAAAGTATTACCTATAATATTTTTTTTCTTCTGGAAAAAGGCTTATTTGTTTTGTTTCAGCTAGAATAAAAGCAGGTTTGAATATTTTGAAACCTATTTTAATAGCTCGATATTATTAGCCCCTTTAAGCAATATATATGTTTGATTGTCTGCAGAAGAAACTACTGTTAAACAATGACTTGCTATTTACCCTAGTTAAGCCTTTGAATGTCACTTTAAGCTGAATACTAGTATCTTGAAAAACGTCTTGTAAAATATAATGTAGTCATCATAGCAAAGATAAAAGTAATCAGTTATTAGAAATGAGTTATTAAATCTGTTATGATTAAACTGCGCTTTAAGCATCTTCACTGTATTTTTGATTTTATTATTGATTAATAAGAGGCAAAGAGTTTTCACACGTGTACAACTGGAAAGGGGGCGGTACGTGATGGAATAATCGTTTATCTCGATTAATGGCTTTTCATAATCGTTACAAGCTAAAATCAAAATCAAAATCGGATTTTCGATTAATTGCACAGCCCTAGCAGAAAATGCAGCTTTAATCTCTCCACTTTAGCACTAATGGCCAGTTTCCACTGAGTGATACGGTACGGTTTGGTACATGTCACCTTTATCAGTGTCTCCACTGCCTGGTGGGCGTGGTGTTCAACAAAGTTGCAGTCGACGTCATTCTCACTTAAAGTTCACATATGAGAAGCACTTCTTACTAAACAAATGCTTTATATACATAAATACTTATGTACAGTGTAAATATATGTTTATTGCTAACCTTTCTATAAACACGATTTGATTATAGCTGCACATCAATGATAATGCGAAATAGCCTACGGTAACTCATCTGCTATTATATGAAATAAAAAATAAAACATTTATGAACACATACAGAGGCTTACAGTCTCTAAAATGTTACCAATTACAAATAAAAATATCCAAAACTTACATTTAGGCCTTATCTTGGGTTCATAAGCGATATGATATACTGTCAGTACAAATCTCTCGTCTTTATTCTTCACCAGCACATGTGACGTTAACACATTGTTAAAAATCAATTTCGTCATTCCGAGTTCATAAAAGCCCAAAAGGTGATGATAATAATTAAACATGGAAGTTTAAAGACCCCTGTCCTTACCCTTGTGCAGTTTTCATCTTTTAGGTTACTGAAAGAGTCATTTGCTCCTTTGTTTTTCGTGCCTCACTCCCGCAGTGGTCCGTTTCTGAAAGGATCAGATGTCAGAAGCATATCAATAGTCACGGGCACGTTATCATAAGCTCAAGAAGTTCATTATTTCAAATATAGATGTGCGGTGTTCAATCGTGAGCTCTCTAGAGAAAGTGAAACCGTTCGATCCTAAAACGGCCTCGTAAACAACAATAAGGTTTATTTGGCTTTGAGGCTGTTCATCAAGACGATGACGAGGTTTGTTTGAGCTCCGGTCGACCATGGCTTGCTATTATATGGATATATTATTACGATGTAATGTCTCGGCTGTGTATTTAAAATTAGCACTTCCTTTGTTTTCATTCTCCTGGCTTGTACACACGCTAATGACATTTGTCTTACTTGGATCGGATATATATTCGATACCGCTTATTTTTGCTGGATAGAGTATCATCCAGCTGCAACCGATCCAAATCCGATCTTACACGTGCACTATTTGCTCAACAATAATTTATAAGCCAACAAAAGCCATGAAGGTATCCTATTATAAGGCAATAGAAAGTTGTCATGTAGTGAAGCCATGTGTCATGGCCTACTATATCCCATGTTCTGAAGCCTTTCTATACCTTAATGTGAAGCACAGATGAATATTCAAGTGGTTAAATTCATGTTTAACTCAGCGCTTCCATCCGCTGCGCCTGTCAGTCATTTTCCATTCATTCACAATTGGTAGCCTATTACAGATTTCAAAGACAAAAAAGGAAACATAAGCTGGATCACAACAAATCTTGTTGATGTCATAATGAATGCTCAAATAATGTAGCATAGTTTATTAGGTCTGTTATTTTTACTGAATAAGATATATTATTTGAGTTTATCACCAGAACTATAGAAACTGTATTATGTTAAAAAAAAGGCACAGTATAGGGATCGGATCTGTATCAGTCGATACTCAGAATTTTGGTATTGGGATCGGATCGGTTCCAAAAAAATGGTATCTGTGCATTCATAGTTTGTCTGCAAGCCAATATTGTTGAGATGCATGTCTAGCTCTGCCTTTTGGTACTCTTTTGTTGTACTAGGTACTATTTTAAAAAGGCTACACAAAAAGTGGTACAGCTATTTGGTATCTTTTGACAGTGGAAATGAGCATAAAGGCGTACCAAATCATACCTACTTCACCTCTCAGTGGAAACGGGTCATAACATGGCAGCACCCATCATCTATCATAGATCATATAATATGATCATTAAGCTCAATTATGTCAATTATTGCAGGAAATGGGGAAAGACACAAAAGAAATCCTCACTTTGGCGGTGCTTTTACTTGATAGACTTGAAACTTTAAAGTGATGCATTCTAAATAATGGTCACATTAAAATAACATGGGTCAAAGGTTTAAAAATTGCACCGTGTGAACCTGCGTTAGGCTGACAAGTTTTTAATCTCCTCTTACAGGTATATGAAGTACCTGTACCCGTACGAATGTGAGAAGAAGGGTCTGAGTTCCCCTGGAGAGCTGCAGGCGGCCATCGATAGTAACCGTAGAGAGGGCCGCCGTCCCGGATACAGCAACAGCCTATACCGCTTCTCCCCTTCACCCAGCGGAGCAGCCCCTCATCTCCTCTCTCCTCCAAAAATGCACCTTCCCGCCACAGGACACAACGAGCTGCAGGCCACCCCCAGTCCTGCCCTGAAGAAAGCCACAGGTGCGCAGTTTCTTAATGCCATTATCTCTTCTGCTTGACAGGAAATGAGGACAGTGAAAACAAAATGTAAATTCTTTAATTTCCCTCAGGATTTGTTTAGTCAAAAGCACTGCATGAAGAAAGATGTGGTGTCAATTGCTCCCACTAGTGGTGAGGTGGAGATTCACATTCGTTGTCATTAGCTACCTTTACATGGACACAATTAATCCATTTACAGTTGGATTGATGGTTTAGTCTGACAGGAAAGCCTTCATGTAAACACTTTAATCGTTTCTGAAGGTGATTGATCCAAATGAAACGCAAGATTGACAATGTAGAACTAAAGTAATCAGATCAATTGGGAAACTTATGACAAGTTTACATATGATCTATCTGCTTGTTAAGTGTGACGTCACGTGAAACGGCTTTCAGGTCCAAATACTCCATCAAACTGTACGTTGAGGCTTAACAAATGGTAATAATAAACGTTTACAAGGAAATGTAATCCTTCCAAAAATCTCAATCGTAATATATATATATATATATATATATATATATATATATATATATATTTATGCCTAATATTCGTTGGCTAGGGCCAGACGGAGTCTTCGGACGTTTTTTGCTATTTATGCTGAGAATTTTAGTAAAAGTCTGCGGAATTGTTTTGGGAGTATCATAACTAAAACTTGAATATATGAAGTAAAAAATAATATCTTTTTAACTTTTATTTAATGTTTAAAATGCAAATACAATTAGATTCACTTTATTTGGTAAATAAAGCAAGTTTGACATATAATTTATCTAGTAAAAGACAGAAAATATTACTGTACAAACTGCATTGTACATAAATCAGATGTACATTTTCACATTAGTTAATAATATTACTGAAATTAATAAAAAAAACTGAATAAATATAGATTTAAACACATTTACTCAAGTAAATAAACCGAATTAATGATGGGCTAAAAATCTGCTGAATTCTGCGCATGCAGATTCCATGTGGGCCTACCGATGGCCAGAAAGTGGTTAATTTTTTTAAAAGTTGTTAAAATATTGTTTTCTTTGATGCAGCAAGTCCAGAGGCTGTTTTGTACACCATGATTTTTATATAAATTTTGTAATAAAAAAAAGTAATAAATACGCTAACAAGGATTTTTACTTTTTGATATAGATACAAATTGGAATTCATTTATTTGTTCAGTATTATAGCCGTTTACCCAATCATGATGAATATGCTCTAGAGTTGGGCGATTTGGCCTAAAATCTAAATTTTGATTAATTGATCATTTTAACTTGATTACAATTAATAAACGATTATTTTATTTATTTATTTTGCTCCCATAGTTCACTGACAGGTTTTGTACAGTAAATATGCTCACTTAATGCAAGGGAGAGATTTTTAAATGAAGAGTGCATTACTTGATTTTAAAATAATAGAATAGAAAACATACATGTGCCTAAACCAAACAGTCACAAAAAAAGTGAAAATTAAATGCACTTTTGGAAACAAAATGAATTATTTTCAGTGTTTTCACATTAAAAGTAGAAAATAAATCTAAATAAAATAACTCCTATCCTGCAAATAATATTTTAAAGGATGCATTTCTTGCATCCTCTGTAAACAAATGTTTTAATAATTTTATGTAATGGAAAATATGCCGTCTTAAGGCATCTCTGGTGCAGCATTGTTAATCATCAATGTTTTGCAAAGTAACACAAAAGTAACAAACAGAGCAGGGTCACGTGACTCCACACACGGTAAATAATTGAAAAAAATCAACCTGGAAAAATTAGATCTTTCTTTGATCTATAACTGCATTTGGTCATGGTGTATGTGGAATACCTGTTGTGCACAAATAAACAAATATTGGGGAGATTTAGATTTAGTTTTATCAAATCAGAATCTTTTTTTTTTTAAACCTGAAATCAGATTTAGGTTTTCAAAAATAGTGCACTTTCCAGTGATTAACTACTAGCTATGTGGTTTTGGTTTGGCTTTTCACGTAAATGCATTTCATTAAATAGAACATCTCCACCTTCACAATGGCACCTTGATGTGGAATAAAACCAAAACTAGACAGGAAGTGTGTGGAGGAAATGAAGTTTCCTGTCCTGATTGGGGAACCTCATGGTGTGAAAGCCATTAAGGGGCTGTGTTTTCCTGTGAGGGTCCACTGACAGTGACAAACCACAGAGGCCAAAGTAAATGAATCACTTGTGTTGATGTATAAAGCAGGGAACCATGTTCATGTCAAAATATTGTGCTTCATAACTTCCACTTGGGTGATGAAAAGAGCACAGAAACTACTCCTCTCCCTGCTCTTGTGCCTATGTCACCTTTTTCGACATTTAAGCTAATCCTAAAATGCCAATAGCAATTAGCATTTTAGCTAGATAGCATTGAGGTCTAGCTCAATTTTGGCGTGGAAATGCTAGAGCTGCATTGGATCAAGGATTTTCAGTTTGATGAACTGGTATTGATTCTAAAATTCAATCTTTTAATTCTCAAATCAAACTTTGCTGAATCTTTGTTTAATCGTGTGAGCTTAATGCTTTGTTAAATCTCATAGTAAGTACAGTCTTCTTTACATGAAATGTAAACAGCTTTTCAAAATGGAAGATGATCTCTTTTGTTCTATTACTAGTTATACTCAAAAAATAAACTTACTGAAATGCATAAATGCTAAATGAATCTTTTAACAGGCGTCTGTAAAAATGACCAACTACATTTACCTCAGAAAAGCCTGGACAGTTGATGGTTACCTGCTTAAATACCAAAAATCATATTTTACTTACTTTGTTAGTAAAGTCTTTTAATATTTAACGTGTATTTAAATAAATGTGTTATGAAAACAAGCCACCATTTGGTTTTGCACATTTCAACAGAAACTATATATTATTTATTAATTATATCTAACTATAGTTGTTAATATTTTTATACAACTGCTATTATTTTAGTGTTGATTCAATACATTTAACAATAAATAGTGATTAAATGGCCTTCTGCTGTTAATTTGAATTTTTAATATTATATAATTGAACCAACTGTTTGATTGATTGATTTGATTGATTGATTGATTGATTGATTGATTGATTGATTGATTGATTGATTAAGGTTGTGCAATATTGATGACAAAATAATGTGGGGGGGTGGGCTGGGGGGTACAATAATGTGTTTTTGTGCTGGCTAGTTAGGGCTTTCATGGACAGATATGACACCAGTAAGTGGTGGTGCGCTAAGTTTGTTAAAGCCAAATAAATGTCATGGCTTAAGTGGAGACCCTGGTACACAATTACAGAATATGTTAAACACTGATGTATACAGTATATTAGTTTTCAATCTTAAAAAAATTAATAGTTACAAAACTATAATTTAGAAACACATAATTTCTTACATATCGGTTTACAATATATGTAACTGATGCCGTTTTCTAGGCTTTATTGGTGATAAAGGTGAAAAATGTTGCACCATTATTGCCTTTTTAGCTTAAGTAGAGGACAAAAGCTAACCAGACCGTAATGAGTGAATTGAGCTGGCAAAATAAAATAAAAATAAAAAACGTCAGTATTTTTTAGTAAATGTACTTTTTTTTTGCTCTTATTCTTTCTATAATAAAAAAAAATAATTTTAGAGCGACTCATGTTCTGTCGTCATTATTATTTAACTTTTATAGGTAAAACTCTCCGAGATATGATGAAAAAGCAAGTGATGCATCAGTTTGATTTAAAAAATCTTGAATGGTTATAAAAATCTTTATAATCATTATAATAAATTATAAATAGTAATTAGTTTGAAAGTCTTATGATGTTAATGATATGACGTAGCTCCAGAAACTTCATACTTCTCTATTCATCCGTCTGACTTTACAGTGGCTTTCTTTTGACCGCCACAGTTGTTTTAAAGAGCCTCATCTCTTTGAGGTGTGTGCAGTCAGCGAAGCCGTGCGATGCGGCACCAGGCGAACGTATAAATCAGCCTTAAGATGTTTGTTTGTTTGTTTTTCCTGTAGTTCAATAAATCTAACCTGTCTTCAGTACTGTTCAATTTGAATAAATTTATCTATCTTATTTTGTGATTTTTTTTTTTTGCATTTCCTCTCTGTGTATGTGTGTTTTTAATATTGTGATATAGGTCTTAAATTTATTACTTAATGGTTGTTAAAAGGTCTTAAAGTCTTAAATTTGACATTATAATATCTGCAGAAACCCTGTATAAAGAAAAAAGGTGCATTTAAAAAAACAAATACATGCAGAAATATTTTTTACTTTCAAAGCTCCAATTATTTATCTGCATTTTAATAGTTCTTATAGAACAGGGATCAAAAACCTCAGTCCTGAAGGGCCGGTGTCCCTGCAGAGTTTAGCTCCAACTTGCCACAACACACCTGCCTGGATGTTTCAAGTATACCAAGTAAAACCTTGATTAGCTTGTTCAGGTGTGTTTGATTAGGGTTGGAGCTAAAATCTGCAGGACACCGGCCCTCCAGGAACAAGTTTGGTGACCACTGTTATAGAACTATTAGTACTTTCAGTAGAAAAAACATTAGTTCAATAACAGTTAATGCACTGTTTTTGGTTTTGTTAAGTGGTTAACTTCAGCTCATACGTTAAAACAACCAAAACAGTATTTCCTTAACGGTGAACATCATTTGAGCAGTTTCTGTTCTCTCTCCTCAGTCCCAGAGGACAGTCCAGCCTCCATGCTGCCAGCTCGTCTCCCCTTAGCCCTGGCTCTGGGGCATCAGCAGCAGCTGGCACGTGCCGCCACCCTGGAGCAGCTGAGGGAGAGGCTGGAGACTGGCATGGGTGCCGGCGCTGTGAACGCGGGGCCCGCTGTGGTCGAAGGGCCCGAGAGGAAAATGGCGCGTCTGGCAGAGGAGCAGCAGAGGCTACTGCAGCAGGCCTTCCAACAAAACCTGCTGGCCATGGCATCACAGGTGAACCCCACCAACCTGAGGATGAACAACGCCAACACCCGCGGTGAGTGTGAGGAGGGATTATTAATGTACAGGGAGTTGGAAAGTAAAGTGAGATGTGTGTCATTGACGATTGGGTTGTGTTTTCAGAGGAGAAGCAGGACTTGTCTCTCAGCATTTCTTCTAATGGCTCTGCCAGCATTACTGTGTCTGTGGAGGTCAACGGGATTATTTACTCAGGTGTGTGCTATTATATTTGCTCATATGTGCGATTGGCTAGTGCTGTTTAAGGTACTTTAACCTCAGGTTATTCCAAAGACCTACTTTTTAAAGATTTTAACCTGTCATATTTTATATTTCTGTTTAATTTATGGTAAACTGAACACAGTGTTAATGTAAAATAAGGAAATCAGTTGGCCTCGATCAGGCCTAACAAAATCAACACAGAAGTAAACCAAATCGACAAACTGCCACTTTACAATTTAACTAAACAATTCGACTCTAATTGAATTGTCATTTGAGAGCTGAAGCATCAATGTAAAATAATGCAAAATGCTTAAATGTGATCTGGAATAATTGATTCTGCTACAATTAGTCACCTTGGAATTATAAGGTTCTATCTGCGTTCTAAATGATATATAAGTTTTAATAAATAATAAGTTTTTGCGTTCCATATAGCAAACAATATGTGTAACAGTTCTCTTTCATACATTAACATGACAGAGACCCTAAATGTACTCTAAATGTAAATGATCAAAATTCTCTTACATTTGCAAATTGGAGTAAAAGAAACACGGTAAATGCAGATAGAACCTTCTCATTCTGAAAAGTCATTTTCCGCTTGGAATTATCAGGGTTCTATCTGGCAGATCATTCACTGAAGCATTACTTTTCAAGAAATACATAAAAAATGTATAAATTGGTGTTGTAACAATATGTTGATACTTGAGAAAGTAAAATTGTGCTTTCTATAACATTTATTTAATGTTTTAGGATGAATATTTTTTCTTGTTCAAATTAAACATGCAAGGCTGAGTTAAATATTTTGTCCAGTGCAGATGTTAATTTCATCTCATAAATATGGTAATATTTATTACATTTTATGCTTTATAAAAATTATATTTATTGATTTATATGTCCCATAAAATAAATTAATTATTTGCCCTTCTTAGGGCTTAATATATAAATTTAAAGACTTTAAAGAAAACAAACAATGAGCAAATGAGTTTAATAAACACCGGAAAATGTTTTACTTGCCATATATACAAAAATAAAAATATTTCACATTTAATTTATATGTTTTTTAATATTTATTTCTATTTAACGGTGTAAAATTTAACATTTAATCTCAGTTTCAAAAAGTGCTTCTCAATTTTGTGTGGTGCAGCATTATTTAGCCGACTCAGATTTTGTCTTTCTGGTCTTTCCCGCTGTCTATGGAGGTCAAATGACAAAGAAAGCTGATCCTGATTGGTCCTCATGCGTTCGTTAAAAATGCTGATTGGTTCACAGAAAGAACCTTACAGAGCCAAGCTAGAGTTCAACTTTGTAGATAAAACCTTTTTTGTTTTTAAATAAAAGTGTTTCAATGTTATACTAAAACATCACATAATATAAATAAGTTGTCATTTAATTAGAATGTAAGTAACTCAATTTTAACAAATGTCAGGTAGAACCTTATAATTCTAAGGTAACGAATTGTACTTAAACTTATTATTTCACTTTTTCAACTGCTAGCATAGTTAACTTTTCCAGCATTTTGTGCT